GCAGTCATTCATCTTGTCATTCATACAGTAAACATTCTTGGCACATCTACACCTGCCATACACCACGCTCGGGGGAAGCACTGGGGATTCAGTGGGGACAAGGCACACGCCCCCTCCCCTCCCGGGACTGCCAGTGTACATCTGTCTTAGAACTGACCCTGTTACAATAAAAGAGAAAGAGAAACAAAATAAGAAAAGGAAAAGCAAAAATAACAATAATAATCAATAATTGAGAAAGTTCCCTGTATAATAAAAAAGATGTCCAAGAACTCATAGATACCAACCTAGCTTAGCTAACGGTCCCTCTAAACAGAGATCAAAAACCCAAAAGCCTACTGGAGCCAGACAGCATGAAAACGTGAAGACTCCCCCAACTTGGAGTGCAAATGTGCTCAACAGAGAACCTGGGTCCCCCAGCTCAAGGGAGCTACTACCCCCCATTCAAGTCCAGCCTATTGGGATCTGCCAGAATTTGGGTCCGGTGCCGTCACAAGTGATTTTTCGAGAAAAATCTTAGGATTAGGATTTTATGGTACGTCTCCTAACTTTTTTAAATATGGGCAATGGTGAGGGACGGTGTTTCCCTTCTTCTATTCCCTGTCTCAGCTAAGTTTCTCCCGGTGTCAGGCCTTAGGACCTCCCCCTGATTTTTCTCGAATAGTTTCATCTCAGCTAAAATATCACGTCCTCATAGGTTTGTGATTGTGATCACATCACTTTGTGATTTCCCAGCGTTGCTGTAACAAGTGAGGTGGCTTTAAACAACAGAAATTTCTTCCCGCGTGGTTCTGAAGCCTAGATGTCTGAAATGTGACTGGGCTATGCATACTCTCTCTGAAGGCTCTAGGGGAGAATTCTTTCTTGCCTCTTTCTAGCATTTCGTCACTATCAGCAATCATTGGCATCCCCTGGCTTCTAGAGGCATCGCTCCAATCTCTGACTCTGTCTTCACGTGGCTTCTCTCTGTGTGTCTGTCTCTGTGTCTTTTCTCCTCTTCTTATAAGGACACTGGTCTTACTGGACTCAGAACCCACTCCACTCCTGTAGGAGATAAAACTCCAGCATACGTTTCATTTTAACAAATCATATTGCAATGGTCTTACTTCCAAATAAGGTCACATTCTGAGGTTCTGGGAAAGACATGAATTTGGGGAGGACATGATCCAACCCGGTACAGTTGGTATTATTGTGTTGCTTTATAGTACTTGATGCCATCTTAATTTTTCCTGCTTGTTTTCCTGTTTCGTATGTCATTGCCCCACTAAAATGTAAGCTCCACGGGAACAGCTAGCTCATCATTCTATCCCCTACACTTAGCACCGTTTCTAGCCCACAGAAAGCACGCAATAAATATTTGCTGCAAAGAGAAATGGAGAGAGGGATAAAAGGAGAGAACAAACAAGACTTTCTGGTTTGATTTTTTTTTTAAAGAGGGGGAGGGGCAGAGGAAGAGGGAGAGACTCTTAAAGGAGACTCAGCGCCCAGCATGGAGCCCGACACAGGGCTCCATCTCACCACCCTGAGATCATGACCTGAGCCGAAATCAAGAGCCAGACGCTTAACCGACTGAGCCACCCAGGTGCCCCTGATTTGATATTTTTAAGATGGTGCATGGGGATTAAGAAAGGGCTGATGCTAAGGGGGTTTCTATAAATGGTTGTTTGGAGACAAGCCTTTCTATTCTCTTCCCAGAGATTTAGAATAGACCAGCTCCACCTCTCAGACCTATCCGTTCCCATGTCTCCTAGGAACGTGCCCTCAACCTTCCCCGCCCCCCCCGCCCCCACCGTGGAAAATCAGCTGCCCCGCTAACCAGGAGAGTGGCAGATAGAAAAGGAAAAAAAGGACACTTGCAACTCCTGCCCAGGTCACGCCTCATGCCACTTTCTTCTCTTTGGAGGAGCAGTGTCTGCCTGCAAAAGGGTGTTGGGTTCTCACAACTGAGAATGATGAGCAGGGCCCCCTCCCCGCGGCCTACCAGTCATTGACAGAAGTGGGCTAGGTGGGGGGTGGGAGCGTATTGGAGCATGTTCAGGTAAATGCGCAGCAGCCATGAACTCTAGGTGACTGTGCGCACAAATGAGAGGCTTGTGTTTCTTAGCCCTCCAGTGTTTCAAACAAACTGAGGTCTAGATGTTTTTAAAAAAATTACCTAATTAGCAAGTGTTGGCAAGCAATTCAAGTTTTTAAAAACTCAACAGAGGCCAACCTCACCACTCCCTCTCCTCCCCCTGAAAAGAATGCCTGTGGCCAGAGGTCACCCTTGATTCCCAACTTCTGGGGAATGCAAGCCCTCAGTGTGTCTTTAGGAGTCCAAAATTTGCAAAGAGTGTGGACGGGAGCAAAATGGAACTCTGGTCTATAGACTCATACAGGTAAGACTTGACCAAAAGAGGCAAGGAACAGGTTCAAGGCAATACCAAGGCAAACCAGAACACCTTCTCCCCTTTCCCAAGCAGAGATAATGCATCCTTGACCCAGGTCCCCTCCAAATATTTGCATGAAGTATAAGGATTAAGGTGAAGGGAAAGCCCCCAGCAGCCTGGCTGCCCTTTTCCTTCCTTCAGTCCAGGGACTACTCTTTGAATATCTCCCTTCCAAACTCCCAGCACCACCTCTCCAAGTCCCCAAAAGACCCTGCCTGATCTTCCTCCCAGAGGGATCATAGTCAAGAATATCAGATTCGGGTCCAGTCTGGACTTTGCCAAGCTCGCTAAGCCTCAGTTGCCCCATCACTAACATAAGGGCTAGGTCACACTCCAGCTTTGTGCAAATTAGAGAAAGGCGCTTTTCTTCCAGTGCAGCCCTAAGCCAAGGCACCAGCTAGATGAGTGCAGAAGGACTGGACTTCAGGACCCTCTCAGCCCCTCAGCTGGGTACCTTTGTTCAGTGAGCAGCCTGCACAACCATACATGGCCACCCTGGATAGTCTCTCCTTTGTAGATCTTATATGTGACACTGTTTAACACACATTATTTCTGATAACACTTAACACAATTATTTGGTAACTAATAATAACTCGACATTTTTTCTCACCCTAATTTTTTTACATACTCTTCAACAGAGTATGGGTTTACATTAGCAAATACTAAACCAGTACAGCTTTTAGGGTCCTCAATATGATTTCAGGTTATCTTGGAGACAGAATTAACATTGTTGAATAATAAGAAGCATTTCCTTTTCAATTCTCTCATTTCTTCTGAAAAACATTCAGTGTTTAATACTTCCAACCCTTGCTAATGATTACACACACACCCACAGGTCCTCTAGAAGTCGTTTCCCAGCAAGCAACAATGGCTCAAATGTTTTAGATCCCTTGGTTTTAGTTGTTTTTTATCTTTTCCCATTTCCCTTTATGGTGAGTAAGGGCTACTTTTCAATTTACAGTAGCAGTGTCAAGTTTTCTTTCCAAAAACATGTATGTAAGTATTTAAAATGAGTCAACTTAAGGAAAAATGTTAAACAAATAATAGAGGTGGCAGTGGAGGGTTTGAAGTTTGGGAAACCTGACACTACCCAATTCCAGACAAGGCCAGATCTTGATGTTTTCTCAGCTTCCCCCGGTTTGAAGTCGGGAGGAGAATAGGGGATTAGTGCAAATGTCTAACACCCAGAGTGTCCCTGCTCCGCTGTGTCTGGAGCTGGGGATCCGCGCCCTCTGGCTTTCCAGCAGTGGGTTCCCTCTGAGCTCAATTCTTCAAGAGTTTGCCCCCTGGAAAGCTGCTGACTTTCATAAACCTTCCCTTCTCTGAGTGGCATGCCTGGGTCCTGTCTCTTGAGCTCTGGGGACCTTCTCCGGGAGGGACATGCCCCTCTAGAATGACTGGGTCCTCCAGGTCGGCTCCCGGGAGGCTGAGCCCAGGCCGGAGCCCGCTGGAGACAACGCAGGAGCCCGCGTGCGCCCTGCCCCTGCGGGAGCGACGGCCGCTGCGCCCTCCCAGATTAAGGAGTGAGCGGGGCCGGGCACACAATGCGGCTGTGTTTGATCCCGCGACGTGTCACTCAGAATCGCAAACAATTTATTGCCATTAGACGTCTTTGTCAGGCACTAATTTCCTGGTGGCGCTCCATCACGGACCTCGAAACATCAGGGGAGGGGGCTCAGAGGCCCACGGGCTGGGGGCGCGAGGGAGCCGTCGCGAGCCAGGCGGGGGTTCCCGTAACGAGGCTTTAATGAGGGGAGCGCGGCCGGCCTTTGTGGAGAAGCCCAAGGAGGCGGCGGCCCGGGCCGCGCGCTCCGAGAGGTCACTTCCTCCCCGGGCCCCGAGCACCCGCCATCCCGTTGAGGGCCAGCTGCGGCCACCAGGCTGGGTGCCCACTGCGGGCTCTCTGGGGCCCCCGCCACCCTCGCCCGCTCGGAAATGCGGCCGGAAACGCAGTCTTTCCATGCAACAATGCAAACGCGCTCATTACCATCTCCTCAATATGCATGAAGAAAATGCGCGAGGCTGGCCGAGCCCCATCACCCGGCTCTGGCCTCAGCATCCAATAAGGCGACATATTCATCTCCCAAGATGGATGAGGAGGGGGCGCCGGGGCGGGGGGGGGGGGGCCGATCCACGGGGGGTGGGGGGCACACGTCCTGGAGAGGAAGAGAAGAGAGAAAATACACGCCGGAGAACCTGAGAGACAGACCAAGAAACCGGAGAAGCACATAGACTGGGATGAAAGAGAGAAGGAAAGACAGAAGGAGAATTGGGGGTGAGGGAGAGGGACCGTCACAGAGGCAGACAGAGATTAAAAAAAAAGAGAGAGAGACAAAATCAGGGCAGAGGGAAGGAGCCACACTGAGAAAAGTGAACTGCAAAGTGGTCCAGAGGAACAAATAAAACAACGAATCGGGGGAGCGGAGGAAAGAGAAGGAAAATGAATGACTTAGAAATCAAATACCTAGAAAGTGGGAGACAGACGGGGAGCGAAAAACAAAGGAGAGGGAGACAGTGAAACTGCTCGAGTCAGGTGGGGAAAGGATGGTCATGGAGAGGTAAAGAAAAATCAGATCACTTGCGCTGAGGGCCAGACTTTCGATCCCTGCCATCCTGGGCGCGGCGAGCCGCGGGCCGCTCAGAGCCCCCGGGGCGCGGGGGTGGGGGTGGGGGCCGCGCGAGGGCGCGGCGGGGAGCCAGGGGCCGTCGGCCGGCCTCGCGCCCTTCCTGGGGCGGCCCGGCCGGCTCCCGGGTGCCCGGGCCCAACTCGGGGCCCACCGCGCGCGTCGCGGCCCGCAGCTGCAGCGGCCGGCCGGGCGGCCTCTTCCCCGCCGACAGCAAAGTTGGCAAAGTTTCTCCCAAAGTTTCCCCAAGGCTTCTCGGGACCCAGGGACCGGCCTCGAGGCCCTGGCGACCGGTGGGGCGCCGCAGCCCGTTCCGGGGCGGCTCTGCAGACAGTCGGCCCGCGCCTCCTGGGATCCCCGGGGTCCGGATTCCGGCCTGATGCAAATCCCTCCGGGTGCCGACGCCAGGCCACGCACTCCGGCGTCCGCACGGCTGCTAATAGCGGAGAGAGAGAATGCGGAAGAGGGAGAGAGAGGGAGAGAGAGAGAAGAAAAAAATATTCTCAGCTCAATTTAAGTCTCATGGAAAGGGCTTACAACTGTAATTAAATCATTAAATTCTTGTCTACGCTTCACAGAGCGGAGAGAAATTAACTTCCCACCAACCTCATTTTCTATTTGAACATGAAATAATGATTTTCTGCCCGTCTAATTACAAAGCCAACATCTGATCAAGCCAGCATCCAGAGGGGATTATCGCATGCACGAGTATTAGACCTCATTACCAGCTTGAGTGCAAAATTATTACATCTTGTAATTGGATGGTGAGATTTATATACAGATCGGCCCGGTTTCTGTAAGATTGTAATTACAAGCTTCGTTGGTTAGCTACTTATCAGAACTTTGCAGGAAAACAAAACAAATGACTGAGGAAAACGAGCATTTCATTAACCTGTAACCCGAGCGCGGGGGGAGGGAGCGGTGGGAGCGTGCGCCGCGGCGTCTGCAGGAAGCGGAGAGATCGCCGGCCGCCCTGCAGCCAGGGGACTTCGGTTCTGGGAGGGAAGGACAGAACATGGGCCTCGGCGAGGAGACCCGGGGGCTGCAGCGGCGCCCCCCGACGGGGACGCGCGCGCACCGTGAGGCTGGGCGAGGAGGGGGCAGAAAGGGGGCCTGGTGGCTAGCGGCTCGCGTGCCGCGTGTGGCGCTGCCCCAGAGCCTGGCGGGCCGCGGGCCCTGGGCAGACGTCGGGGCCGCGCGGCCCCAGGTGCGAGTCCAGCGAGCGCTGCTGTGTGCACCAAACGTGTGCCATGGACACCCTCTCCGTGCACTGCCACACTCGGGGCCGCGTAGAGAGAGCGTCTACAGCAAGCCTCCGAAGCGCTGTGTGCGCTGGGAACAGTGGACGAAGGCGAAAAGACGGAGAAGCTTTTGTGTGCGGCGCGTCTGTGCGCGCATGCCTTTCCCAAATCAACTTCCCGTGCACCTGCTTCTCCTCCCTGTGCGAGTGTGTCACTTTGACCTCGTCCCTTGGATTAAAAATCTCTGGAAATGGTTCGGCTGTCCTCGAACTCGCGAGTTCAGTCCGGGGCCGGGCTCCACTGGCCCGGTCGAGTTTTGGAGCCAGTGCCACGTCGGGGCTCGGCTGCCTAGGACGCTGAGTCCCGACGTGAAGCGCGGACCTCCCGGGCGGGGGCAGGGCTGATCTCTGCTGGACACTAGGGTAGTGGAGAGGCCGCTTCTGCTCCGGGACCTGGGACGCCTGGAGGGACGTCAAAATTAATCGAGGTTCTTGGGTACGAGAATGGGTCTGGGGATTCTCCTGCTGGGCCATGGGCGCCCTCAGACCTGCGTGGTCGGTTCACAGAGAACCACCTCGCCCCTTCCCTGGCCTCTTTCCCACCTCGCGCAGCTCCGAAGCAGCCAGGTCGATAGCTGGTTAATGCGGAGGAAGCATCTCCGGGGCTCATGGTTTTCTCTTTTCCTTCTGGAAGAGCTGAGTTTAATAGCGAGCGTTTCATCTGGGCACGCCACAGTTTCCCCACCTCGCAATCTGGCACCTGGCACGCTCAGGTCTGGTGCCACCACTTTGCGCAAACTCTGGGGTTCAGGGCCGTCGAGGCTCGAGGTTTGACATCTAGGAAGCACTCCGGGAAATACTGTTACCCTCAGTTTTGTAACCCCTGAGATTTTCTGTGAGAAGGTGAGCCCATGGTTCCCAAAGCCCCTTGGCTGAGAGGCTTAACTGGAAACGAAATCAGGCGCCGGGGAAACATTTCAAAGCCAGAGCTTCCCCTGATACCTCCTCCTCTGGGGAGACTCCAGCTAAGGCCAACGCCAGGTATCAGGCAGAGAAGCAGGTGGGGAGGGGATGTGGGAAAGAGCTCAACCGAATTTGAGAAGGCCACACATCAGTTTCCCCAATCGAACACCAAACTGGTGGCCCCCAAACTTTCTCTTGTCTCTCTCCCGCCCCCCAACCCCGCAATTTTTCTCTGGAGCCACCGCCCTGTGCGAAGACCGGTGGAAAGAGACCCGGAGTGAGGGGTGGGGTCAAAACTGGGAATTCATTCCTGAGCTGGACTGCCCAGAGCTGCTTACACCAGAGAGACAGCCGGGGGCCGAGACTCTCTGATCTCTCCACTCGGGTGGAATTCGGATTCAATTCCTCTCTCAATCAGCGCGCGGCGGCCAGTTTCCGCCCCACAGCCCGGGCTGGCCACTCCATGACAGAGTCACCGCGCCCGTGCTGTCCCCGGAGCGCTACCGCTGCAGGCCTGGCCAGTGCGTCGGTCGCCGCCGCGGCCTAAAGCTTTTAGCCCGGAGTCGCTGCGATTCCGGGAGTTTCAATCCCGCGGTCGGCTGCACGCCCTAATCCGTGAAGGTGGGCGTTCGGATACCGGGATTTCAGGTTTGATGGAGGAAACAGCCCACTGTAAAACCAAAAGTCTCGCCTCCCATCCCCACCCGAGACGGTGATAGGCTCTTTACAGAGAGAAAACAGTTTGGCACGGTGACCCGAGGAGCCGAGGAACGGGGTAGGGAAACGAAGGGTGTCTACAGACTGAAAATTCCAATATACAAACTTCTCGAAGGGCTCTCGGAAAGTTCCTGGAGCCTCTGCCACCTGGCTCTCTGCTCCTCCCTCCGCCCCACGCGCACCCGCTTAGGGCGCCGCTAGGCTCCCTGTTCCAGTCTTGGCTCCCCGGGATCCCCAGGGGGTCCACACTTCAGCCCCTCCAGAGGCAGAGCCCGCCATTTCTAATCAGAGGTTCGCACCCGGACACAGGCGGCGTTAAAGTAGCTGATTTCAGGGTTTGGTGCTCTGGGTAGGGGGCTGCTTCGCCCCCCTGGGCAATGAGATGGCCTTTGAAGGCTCGACTAGAACGCATCCCTTCGCCCCTCGCACCTCTCTACTCGCTTCTTCCCTACGCCGCTGAGAGCGGCCTGGAGTCTAAGAGGTGCGAGCCGAAAAGGGGGCCCGGGCCGAGAAAAGCCCCAGCGCCTGCCCTGGACCGAGATCTTGGTCCCGACCCAGGCCCCCGCGCTGGGGGGGGGGGGGGCCGGGGGGGGGGGGAGAGAAGAGGTACCGAGGGGCGGGCAGCGGGGAGGGGCGAGCTGACCCCGTACTAACCCGCGTCCCCGCGCCTCCCGCTGCCCCTCCCGGCGCAGGCCGGAGGGGGCGGGCAGGGACTCGGAGCGCCCGGGCTCGCGTCCCCGCCCCGCCCCGCCCTGCGCGCAGTATCCTCCGGGGTGGGCGGCCTCGCCTGGAAGGCGCCCCGGCGATTGGCGACTCCGGAAGGAGACGCGAGGAAAAGTCGAATAAGAGGGCGCGACGTCAGACCCGAGATTTGGGGAAGGGCAGGGGAGGAGGTGAGGGCGGGGACGGACACACAGACACAGCCTCAGACTCAGATCCACGGACTTACACCCCCCGCACGGCACCTTAAGTGTCCCCAACTTTAGGCCGCCTGAACCCAGGGCGCCGCCGAGGCCGGGGCTGGGGGTGGGGGGAGAGATACGGGAGTAGACAGAGAGAGATAAAAACAGGGGAGAAGAAAGAGTGAAGGGAGCGGAAAGGGGAGAAGAGAAAAGGAATAGAGAGAAAGGAAAAGCAGGAGAGGGAAGAGAGTTTCGAGCGTCCAGGAGAGTGAAAGAGCCCGAAGGAGCGGAAGCGATCCTAGGGGGAAGAGGAGCGCAGAGAGGGAGGGGGGAGGAAGGGCGAGGAGGGGGAGTGAAAACTAGAGGAGGGCGAAGGAAGCGAGGCGCGACACTGCTCGGGGACAGGAGGGCAGTGAGGAGCGAGGCGCGGGCAGAGGCTGCTCGGGCTGCCGAAAGAGGAGGGAGCGCGGCGCTGAGAGGAGGGGCTTGCGGGCCCGTAGAAATGTCAATCAGAGCCCGGAGCCCCGGGAATCTCCGCCAATCTGTTCGGACCTGACCTGGCTCCTCGCCGCCGCCGCCGCCGCCGCCGCCGCCGCCGCCGCCGCCGCCGCCGCCGCCGCGGAGCAGATCAATAGGCGAACGCGGAGAGCAGCGCAGCGCGGGAGGCAGCGCGGCCCCAGCCCGGCCCAGCCCCCGATGCGCGCCGGAGCCCGCGGGCGGCGCTGAGCAGGGCGGCCCCGGGGGCCGGGCCCCCCTCTCCGTCCGTGCCCCGCGGGCCACCATGTCCTTCCCCCAGCTCGGATACCAGTACATCCGCCCGCTCTACCCACCCGAGCGCCCGGGGACCGCCAGCGGCGGCGGCAGCGCCGGGGCCCGGAGCGGCCCAGGAGCCGGGGCCTCGGAGCTGGCCGCCTCGGGGTCCCTGTCCAACGTGCTCTCCTCCGTGTACGGGGCGCCCTATGCCGCGGCGGCAGCGGCTGCCGCAGCCGCCCAGGGCTACGGTGCCTTTCTGCCCTACGCCGCCGAGCTGCCCATCTTCCCGCAGCTGGTAAGCGCCCAGGGAGCCGGGGTGGGGTGGGGGAGGGTTAAGAGAGCTGGGGCGCGGGAAGGGCGAGCGCGCGGGAGTAGACGAGCGCGGCCCAGGCCGGGAGGGTGGAGGCGGCGACGGCTAGGGCTCACCCGCGCTCCCTCCGCGCGTGTCCCTTCCCTCTCCGTGTGCGTACAGGGCGCGCAGTACGAGCTGAAAGACAGCCCGGGGGTGCAGCATCCGGCCGCGGCCGCCGCGTTTCCGCACCCGCACCCCGCCTTCTACCCGTATGGCCAGTACCAGTTCGGGGACCCGTCCCGTCCCAAGAACGCCACCCGGGAGAGCACGAGCACGCTCAAGGCCTGGCTCAACGAGCACCGCAAGAACCCCTACCCCACCAAGGGCGAGAAGATCATGCTGGCCATCATCACCAAGATGACCCTCACCCAGGTGTCCACCTGGTTCGCCAACGCGCGCCGGCGCCTCAAGAAGGAGAACAAGATGACGTGGGCGCCCCGCAGCCGCACCGACGAGGAAGGCAACGCTTACGGGAGCGAGCGCGAGGAGGAAGACGAGGAGGAGGACGAAGAAGACAGCAAACGCGAGCTGGAGCTGGAGGAGGAGGAGCTCGTGGGGGAGGAGGAGGACACGGGGGGCGAGGGCCTGGCGGACGACGACGAGGATGAGGAGATAGATTTGGAGAACTTAGACGGCGCGGCCGCGGGGCCTGAGCTCGCCTTGGCTGGGGCGGCGCACAGGGACGGCGACCTCGGCCTGAGACCCATTTCAGACTCCAAGAACAGCGACTCGGACGACAGCTCGGAGGGCCTGGAGGAGCGTCCACTGCCGGTGCTGAGTCTGGCCCCAGCGCCCCCGCCGGTGGCCGCGGTTCCGCCGTCTCCGCCCTCGCCTCCTGCGGGCCTGGACCCCTGCGCTCCGGCGCCAGCGCCCGCCTCAGCCCTGCAGAAGCCCAAGATCTGGTCCCTGGCCGAGACGGCCACAAGCCCGGACAACCCGCGCCGCTCGCCTCCGGGCGCGGGGGGTTCTCCCCCTGGGGCCGCCGTCGCGCCCCCAGCCCTGCAGCTCTCTCCAGCCGCCGCGGCCGCCGCGGCCCACAGACTCGTCTCCACGCCTCTGAGCAAGTTCCCGGCTTGGACCAACCGGCCGTTCCCAGGCCCGCCGCCGGGCCCACGCCCGCACCCGCTCTCCCTGCTCGGCTCGGCCCCTCCACACCTGCTGGGACTTCCCGGAGCCGCGGGCCACCCGGCCGCCGCCGCTGCTGCCTTCGCTCGGCCGGCGGAGCCCGAGGGCGGAACAGGTGACTACTGAGCGCTGGATGCGGAGGGAGGGGGTGGGTTCTGGGGGTCGCGCGGGGGCAGGCGGAGATGGGCAGGACCCCCCGGGGGCGCGGGGCGCTTACCACCCCGCGCCTGCCTCCCGCGGCCCTGAGTGCTGGAATGGAGCGCTCTGAAGGCCCTCCTTTTTCTTCCCCGCTTCCCTTAGATCGCTGTAGTGCCTTGGAAGTGGAGAAAAAGTTACTCAAGACAGCTTTCCAGCCCGTGCCCAGGCGGTAAGAGGGGAATGGTGGGACCGGCAAGTCGGGAAGGAACAAACTTGGAGGCCCACTCGGCTTTTGCCCCCGGGGGAACGCCGCCGGGACGCGCTTTAAAAAGGGGACGAAACACACAGCCCTCCGTAGTCCCCGCGGGCCCACAGTCGGCTTGGCTGTCCCAGTCCTGGCCCCTGTACGCGCGGTGGGCACCGGAGCCCGGCCCGGTCACCAGGCCCCTGGGGCGGGCGGCGGCTCTGGGAAGCACCCCTGGAAGTCCTCCAGCCGGGGCCTGGGGTCTGACGCCTTCCCGCCATTCTGATAGTTAAACCGGAAGCCCAAGGTCTACGGCGGGACAGCATCTGACCCTGAGACACCTCCCAGCCCCCCAGCCTCAGCCCCAGGTTGGGTCTCCCGGTCCTGGGCAGCGTCGGTGCCCCGGACTCTTATTTCCCTTTGCTACTACCATTGCTTCTCTCTTCCAGGCCGCAGAACCACCTGGATGCCGCTCTGGTCCTCTCGGCTCTCTCCTCGTCTTAGTACTTATTTTTAAAAATTTTAAATCGTTGTAATAATTGTAAAAAAAAAATCGCTCTGTATAGTTATGACTTGTAAGCATGTCCGTGTATGAATACCTAAAAAAGAAAACTAAATAACAACAAAAAAAAGAAATAAAGCAAGTCCCCCTCAGTCCTCCCCAAGTGGCTTCTGTATCCCACATTAGCTGAGTTTGTGAGGGTTTTTTTTTTTTTTTTGGTTCGGTTGATTTGGGGGGTGGAGTTTCCGTGAGAATAAGCGTGTCTGACTTTTTTTGTATATACAGAAAAATGTACATATGTGTGAACCAAATTGTACAAGAAAGTATCTATTTTTGGCTAAATAAATGAGCTGTTGCCACTTTGACTATAACTGCCTGTCTGCCCCTCCCCACGACGGATCTATTGGGTTTTTTTTAATCCACACCCCCCACCCCCCCCCCCCCCCCCCTCCCCCGTGTTTGAAGAGTTGCTGGGGATCAGCAGTAAAGAAGGCGAGTGGGACCACTTTATCAGAAGAGTGCATAGGCCGAGAAGACAGAGAAGTGGCAGGCCTGGGAGCACTGCTGGGGGTGAGGCAGTTGGAGAAATCTGTGGGCGCCCAAGGGAAAGGGCAGAGAAGACAGCGGGAAACCCGACAAGATGCCCTCCGAGGAGCCTGGGCAAGTTGGGCCCACCCCGCCGGTCCACTGGAGCAACCGTGGGGTCTTGGAGCCCGCTCTGGATGGCAGAGCAAAAAGACTCAGAGGAGGGTCTGGATGCAGAAGGGTTAGGGCGGGAGGCTCTCATCACTCCTGCAACCCCATTCTTAGATAGGCACAATTGAGGCTTTCTTAGTCTTACATGAGGGCGTGTGCCAGTTCAGTTCAAGCCCCTTCCAACCTCATTGCACCCCTGACTCCTCCTTATAGATGCAAGGGTGTGGGGTGGCGGTGAGTAGGGTGGGTGTGGAGGAGCAGGGAGCCTGGGGATGCACATCATGACCTCTTGGTGACTTGCCCAGCCTGAATGGAGAGTTGGGGGACCCAGGTCCTGGTAGCATCTGTGCATCTTGGCACCCCAGCGGGTTTTCCCCAAGTGCCCTGGAAGGACAGCTTTCTGGGGTCCCATGGGGGAACCGGGGGTGTTGGGGCTGCTGTACCTATCTATGCAGCCTGGATTCGGGCTCCAGGCAGTCCAGGGGTGGGCCGGGGGCGGGGAGGGAGCCCGGAAATTTGGGGCTGGAGCTCCCTCTACAGGACAAAAGGGCCACTCAGCGCCTACCTCTGGAGGCCGCTCCAGCCAGGCCAGCCGCCGCTGGCCCCTTCCTGGCCCCCTCCCCGTCCTCTTGTTTTCTCTTTCAGGCTGCCAGCCTTGCCCAACTTTGACTTGAACAAGTTGTAGGTTGTGCTGGAAGAGTGCCGCCTCCGGGCCGAAGTGGAGGGTACACTTTTTTACCTCCATCCCCACGTTTAGTTAGTAAATGATGCATAGGGTGGCCAGACACCTGGTGCTTGCCCCCACCCCACCCCCTGGCATGGGGCCTGTGACAATCCCGCCGGTGCCCTGGGAGTTTTGGGAAGAGCTTGCAAATGAAGCCATTGGACAAGGCTTTAGTGTACACCTTCCAGGTTCTGCAGGAGCAGAAGCAGGAGCAGGTGCCCCCAGGGAACCCCAGAGAAGCTGAGTCAATGGGGGGTGGTGGCCTCCCAGGGACAAGGGGAAAGAGGGTCTGTTGGCGTCCAGAGTGTTAGTTGGCGGCCCTTCCCAGAGGGCTGGTGAGGCAGAGGCTGGTCTCTGAGCAAAGACCTTCCAAGCGAGGCTGGGGCTCCCCCCTCTGGGCCCTTCCCCAGAGGTGGGAAATGTCTCTCGGGCTCCCTCCCCTCCCGGCTCTCTATTAATGGTGTTTGTGGGGTTCAGACTCTTTCCCAGGACTCAGACGCGGGCTGTGGTTCAGCTCAGGCACTGGGCAGGGCGCCCTGCCACACGGAACGGGCTTCAACTGTCTGGGCCTTGAACGTCAGAGGCCAGGGCCTCGGGGCCGGGCAGAGGCCTCTGCCCTTGGCCTGAGTATCTTTAGGTGGGCAGCTACCCCTGAGGGCCTGTCAGCTAGGGCCTCCAAGCTTTACTGTGGCACAGACCTAGCTCCCCAGTCTCCGTCCTGTGAAACTCTGGGCAGAGAATTAACTTCTCTGTGCTCTATTTCCTCATCTGTGGGAAATGGGAATAATAGTGCCTACCTCGAAGGAGGAAGCATATCTAGTGCTGACATGCCCCGTGGAGGTAAATAGCCTTACTAATATTCTATTACTAGTCTTACTAATACTCTATTCCAGAATCTCAGACCCCTCTCTTCGACTCTGGGCAGGATTCTGCCCACCCACGCCCCTCAGCCATAACAGTGAGGCATCTGCCTTCAGGCACCTCAGGACGCAGCTCAAACCAGGGAGAAAGGAAAGTCCCCAGGCCAGCGTGATCAGGGGGAGGGGGCACGCAGAGGGCAGGCAGCCTTCCCACGCGCAGACCGTCCACCAAGGGAGGAGGAAAAGCATTCACAGGGAGCTGGTGCCGAGAGGCCAAGCCGAGCTCGGAGAGGTCTGACTGCCCCCTGTCCTTGGTGTCTGTCTAGTGTAAACCCTGTGGCCGGCTCACCCCATCAGACCAGCTCATTCCAGGGATAACCGTCCTTGGATGAGACCAGTTTTGCCCCTACTGAAAGGGCGGTTGTGTGGGGGGTGGGGGGCAGAGGAGAGCTGGGGGAGACCTGGGAGTGGCTCCCACGTGTCTGCATCTTCTCTGTCCCACAGAACACGTGGGCCCTTCACATGGCCCCAAACTGACCCTCATAAGGTAATGCGATCAAAACAAAAAAAAAAAGATCCATGGGCTTTCTAGCTGAAATAGGGAGAAGCAGCAGCTCCGCTCCCCATTTCACCAGGAATGGGTTCTTCATACTCCTCCCTGAGCCACCCCCTCCTCTCCCTCCTTTCAGGGATCCTAGGAACCGCCTCCATCCATAGTTTATTGTGCGGACCTAAAATTTTAAAAGGCAACAGGAAGCTGGAGGGGGAGGGTTCACGGGGGGGGGGGGGGGGGGGGGGGGGGGAGGGAGGGAGAGAGAAAAGGAAGCTAGAGAAGAATAAGGCATAAGGGAGAGAGGATATCTGGGAATCTTATCCCAGGTCCTGATTAAGCTTCAATTAGAAATAAAATATGTCAATCACTCCGCCTGGAAGGGGTTCCTGCTGTCGGGGCTGGTTATGCAAAGCACGCCAAGGTGTGCGGGGATAATCAATTAGGTCAGAGGAAGGAGTGTATGTCACGGCTTCCCTCATTATCTGCATGGAGCTGGGGGTTGGGGGGGCTCACCGGGCCAGAGAGCCAGAGGAGAATAAAATTCTCTCCCTACGTGATGGCCCACCTCTGGGGCCTGGGACATTCACGGTTTCCAGTTGAATTTACTTTCACGGGAAGACAGGGAGGAGGAAGTGGGGTCTAGTCAGAGGGCAACATGGAAAAGCTAGTGGGGCAGAGGCTTCCCCGAGAGGAAAGGGTGCTCCAGCCACTCACCTGCCCCAGGTGAGGAGTGAGGAGAGGGCAGGCCCTCACCTGCCTGCCGGGCTGGTGGTCTCCTGGCCCCCCTGGAGGGTCCCTGGTCCCAGGCCTGAGTTTTGGAAGGTAAGCAACAGGGATTGAATGCTTGGATAGGAACTGGATGTCCAAGATATGCTGGGACCCTCCATCAGGAACTCTGGCTTCGGGCCCACTTATTCGTGTCCTTCTAGAAACATTCTGTATCCTGTAACTCCTGGCTGCATGTGCCCTCTTGCCTCTACCAGATGAAAAAGGGCAATTGCAGGTGTGGACAGATCGTGTCTGTGGCTAGAGCTACCTCCAACTTGAGTGGAGGCAAGCGTCATTCTGATTTGGGGCTCCACCTTCACCGTCTGCAAGATAGAGGGGATTGGATTAGATGAATTTCTTCCAATCCGAGGTTGTCTTGTATTGGACATAAATGGAGGGTGACCATAACCTCTCCTGATCCTGATCAGCCAGTGTCATCGGATCCAGCCAGCCAACGTGACCACACTGAAAGTGTCCGTCTATTGCACGGCCAGGCCAACCTAGCTTATGTGGAGCTCCTCTTTCCCTCCCAACAGAGGCCCCAGCCCCTCCGAAGACCATCCTGACTGTTTGCATGGAAAACCCCACAAGGCATGTCCTCCCGAGGGTGGAAGGGTGAGTACCCAGGTCTTAAGATAGAGCAGTGTTTCTCCGCTGGGCAAGCCCCCCCGACTCCCAGGACATATGACAACGCCTGGAGACATTTTCCACTGTCACGACTGGGTAGGGATGCTGGCATCTCATGGGTGGAGACCAGGGATGCTTCTGACGCCAGGGATGCTGTCCCACAGACACAGGCCAGCCCCAACAGCAGAGAATTACGGGGTCCCAAATGTCAATCATGCCTCTGTTGAGAAACCAAGAAGGGGGGGGTGTCAGGGGCAATTAGAATGCGGATTTTCTCCCTGAAAGAAAAGCACAGCTTTGCGGTGGGAAACCTTAAAGAAGGATGCTAAGTGGGGCCGCTTTTTGCTCTTTAAAACTCTTGGCCCTGGAAGGGGGCCCTGGGGGTGAGAGAGCATAAGCAGGAAACTTTGCCAGCCTGGGAAATAGAAAAGTAGGTTTGGGCTCCCTGAACCGCTGGGGGTGGGACCGTCTCCAGGAGGGAGAGACAGAGTCATCTCCAAAGAGGACGTGTGTCTGAAAAGTTGGGGCCCTTCTCCCTGGATATTTATATCAGGAGCAGGTTACCAGAATGTTCTCACAGATGAAAGCCTGACTCCTGTGGTTTGGCTCATAGTAATTGCCACCTCTTAACTGCTGCCAGTCCTTCCTGCACGTCAATGCTGTGTGTGTGTGTGAGTGTGTGCGGGTGCGGGTGTGCATGTGGGTGCATGTAGGTGTGTGGGTGCATTGTGTGCATGGGTGTGTGGGGGTGCATGTAGGTGTGAGGGGTGCGTGCGTGTGAGTGTGCGCAGGTGCATGTGGGTACATGTAGCTCTGTGGGTGTGGGGGTGCGTGTGTGTGCATGGGTGTGTGTGTGCGTGCATGTGCGTGTGGGTGTGAGTGTGGATGTGTGGGTGCACGTGGGGGCGTGCGTGTGGGTGCGTGTGAGTGTGCATGGGTGAGTCTGTGTGAGTGTGCACGTGCACACACCACACGTGCGTGTGGGTGCAGGTGTGGATGTGTGGGTGCGTGTAGGTGTGTGGGTGTGTGGGTGTGCATGTGAGTGTGTGTGTGCGGGTGAGTGTGCGTGGATGCATGTGGGTGTGTGGGGGTGGGGGTGCGTGTGTGTGCATGGCTGAG